GAAAGAGTCCATATGTCTGTCTGTATACTTCTCACAAACCAATTTCTCAAGAACCAGTGGGCAAGTTTTAACCTAAGTTGGCACAAGTCAAAATTGTGAAATTTGTGACCCCAGGGTCAGGGGTTCTCGTAGGGGAGATCTGTTGATTACATAGTGAAAATATCCTCTGTTCATGTGCTTTAAGCAAACAGGCTAAGTGCATAGTTACAATGAACAAGAGTGTCTCTTCCAGAATTGTTATTTTCATGGCCCCTGGGTCAGGGATTCTGGTGTTAGAGCAGGGCTCTATAGATCAGATATTGAAAATGCATACTTTAAGATCTGTTACTGAGTACTAGACTAATTATTATGTGTACTCAGGAATGTACACAAATTCAAACTTAGAGAATTTATACTGAGGCACAGTAAACGAGCTATGAACAGAACAGCGTGTGACTACGAGTAAGGTGAGGATAAAGATGTTGATGATTAATTAAATAATTGTTTGTTAGTACGGGAATTAAAGTTGAAGCTATTACAGAAGAAAAATAGGAGGGTTGATTCAAAAGTAATGATTACCTATGTAACCAAATAAATTTATTATCTATCTGCAGGCGCGGATCCAGTAGTTTTTTTTCCGGGGAGGGGGGGGGGGGTCCACCCCAGTCAAAAAAAAAATTTCCAACCCAAAAATTTCTTGACAAGCAAAAAAACAAAACAAAACAAAAACAAAAAACTAAATTCCCTTCCCAAACGTATTAAACACAGAAATGCAGAAATGTTGTTGACAAGCGAAAAAAAATTAAAATAAATAAAAAAAAAAGGAAAATGCTTTATTTTGTATGTTTTATATCTTGTATACATATGTAAAATCTGATGAGCCTTTGGCTTAAAGAAATAAACAAACAAACAAACAAACAAACAAACAAACAAAATCCGCGCATGTACCTGTAATATTATGTTTCCAACTAATTTATAAGATAAACTTCGTGCTACTATGTAACGAAAAATCACGACTATTTATTGTGACGTTGTGCTCGATATTCTGATGTAAGAAGTACTTTTTCAGCAAGGAAAAATATGATAAAAATACGGGCATGCTATATGAAAACACTGTACGTTCTTCTACTACATCACACGACTTGTCAAATTTTATGAAATATGATTTATTTATAATTAAATTTTAAGGTCTCTATTATGGCTGCCTCTTTCATTCGAGTGTGAGTCGCGCAGATATGTATCAAGAAAAAAAAACACCCGTAATTTACATCCAGAAAATAAACTTTAAAAGTTACACATCTCAAATATTAAATTTATGCCGTCAACCCATTTACTGAAGATTCAAGTTTATTAAAATGTCGTCCCAAGCTTATATAATACAGGAATTCACGTTTAAGCAATACTTATGTAGAACATTAATTTTCTTAACTACATGTATATATCATGCACTTACACAGTGGCACGCTAACAGACTGAGGGTTAGTTGATACTTGTACTATACATATTACATGAATATTCCGTGTCACCAGCTGGTAATTTTATCACGTGTCATACAGCGATTACGTACCCCGTGTATTGCACACACCTGTGTGAGTCACAGGCCTTTCTAAAGATCACTCTGATACAACTGACAAAACTAGGGGTATAACAAAAAGGTATGGAACTCCTCACGTAGGGGTACCTAATTTCGCAAATGAATCAAATGATTGAAAATAACACGTTCTATTCATATCTCTTCATATATAAACACATTATATTACTTCCAAAGTTCATTCCGGGAAGTCGGTATACATCTTAAGACAGTCATTCTACGATAAATGGACCAATTCAGAGTAAAAAACATGAAAAAAAAAAAAGGAACATGTTTCAAATAGCAAAATGAACATCATAATTCTCTAAAGGACATATCAGTGAACTTGAAAACAAAGAATTGTCCACGAATCTGGTATCGTTAACTTTTTACAACAATTTCAAGATACCATTGATTTTAAGGTAATGTTACGGAAGTTGATGCCTGATCAAGCCTTATTATTTTTTAAATAAAGCTGAATTTGTCCAATTTTTCGTTTCTGATGTTCAGTAAGAAACGCTAAAGCATGATTCATGAAGTCTCGCATGAATCCGAATTTAAATTAAATTTTCGGGAAAAATATCGTTACGGAAGTTAATTCCCAGCAATAAAAGTTAAAATTCTCTTCAATAGTTAAAATCAAAGTTTGTTTTAGGATATTAAACAAAAGTATGAAGCATTTCGCTCCCAAAATAATAATAAAAATGTATTCCTTTAATGCAAAAACTTTCCTGAATTACCGTTACGGAAGTTAAATTTTTAAGAGAGACAACTGTTTTTGTCTAATTCATTTTGTTATGTCGAAAAAGTAATCGTCTAAAATAGCTGACTTGCAACTAGAATCGATGATATAAGGTTCCGTGGTCACTTTCAGATAAGTTTCAGTTCTTTTTGAAATCTGCATTCTATGCGTGAAATTTAAAACAAAATCGCTACGGAAGTTAATCGATTTTAAGCGACATGCTTATGAATTCGCATGAAAGGAGATCTATGCATTTCTTTGCGAGAAGTGGTTTGATTTCTTTCTATATAGGATAAAATACATTTCTTAACATTCATTGCAATCTATTCGGAACGATTTTATGGCTAAAAATTTCATCTTGAAATTTGTAAATAAATGAAGCGACATTAAGATTTGCAGTGGAATACGTTTTTCAACATTACATTATGTTCATATCAAAACTTTAACTGCATATATATCGGTGAATATTTACAAAACCATGTGTGTATGTTAAGTCTTAGAGTTGAAATCGACCTTTAAATTTATAGTTAAGATATTACAACGGTAAATTTGTAAGCGACATAAAAATTCTTAATTGGTCATGTTTTTGTAGAATGACTGAAGATATGCTGAAATCAGTTCCATAATTAAACAATTTTCTTTACTAGAAACTACCTTGGGCCTTGATCTAAAGCGAGAATGACTGGACGAATTTTCCCCGGAATTCATTCTATACTCTCTGAACACTTCAATGTTTATACAGGCCCGTAGAACGCGGGGAGAGGGAGGCAGGTGTGCCCTCCCCGCTCGCCGCCACTTTTTTTTTCTGAGTGTAGTATTTTGCTATAGTAAATTTTCCTTTAAGTGCTGTTGCTCCCTCCTCCCTTACTTTTTGATGATGTAAGTTCCAGGATTTGGACAATAAATTACCCCCCCCCCCTTTTTTTTTTTTGCTTGTCAGATTTTTTGGGGAAGTCCCCCCCCCCCCCAACTTTTGAAGCCGTTGCTACGGGCCTGCTATAAGCGCTCAGTCCGTACAAAACTTCATTCGATTTGATCATGTTGTCCTAACAAATTACCTCATTCGATTTGATCATGTTGTCTTAACAAATTACCAACAATATTTTTAGCAGTTTATTTTTTTTAAGATTTAAAAAGTATATATAAGTTTCGTTCAATCGTAGCTCTTCTTACTTTAGTAAATAACATTGCCCTACAACTGTCATCGCAGACGTTTTATAATGGTTTTACTCGGAAGTAATTTTTAGAGACTTAAACGTACGATCTGGAGTATAAAAAAATTAACTGAGAAATGTTGATGGATTATGCATTTACATGTACCATGCACCTGTTCGCTGCAGTTCAGACACCGTCTGTATACATGCAAATGACCAGGGGCCCAAGCTACTTTCGATTGAAAAAAAACAGTAGTCAATTTTGGAATTGATTTCAGCATATCTCGAGAAAACATCTGAAATTTCGGAATGGACATTGGTAGTAATATAGAATCTTTATATGTGAATAGATATAAGTAGGAAGTACAATTTTAAATCTTTTGATTTATAAGTATTTCATTGGCGAAAATGGATACCCTATGTGAGTAGCTCCTTTCCTAATTTTTTTTTACACCCCCCCCCCCCCAAGTTTGTTAGTCAAATTAAAGTGATCCAAATGCCTGTGGTGTAAGTGAATGATAAAATTATTTATTTTGTGCACATATCTAATATCATTATTATCAATTACAGATAGTGTTTGTTGATACAATGATGTTTGTTCACTGATAGTTAAATCAATATCACACTCTGATTTATTTTAAGATGAAAACTTCGACATTATTAAAAGGGTCGCAATTTCGAGCTTTACCAAAAACACTATAAGAAATAATTAATAAAAAAAATTACTACCAACATAAAGAGCATTAACTGGAGTTTGTCAATATCATGAATCGAATACCATTTAATTCTATGAAAGCCTATTAGGATCTTTTCGAAAGGCGTAATAACGCGAAAAAAGGCGTTATAACGCCTTTTATTTTTTTTCCTCCTTAGATCTCCCAGTAGGCTTTCGTATAATTCCATACCTTTGTGGAGTGCATTTTTTTTATATGAGGCAGGCGGAGCCTACATGTATACATATACCAGGATCGATTTAGCTCAATCAAAACAATTGATTAGCTGTTTACAAAATTTTGAGTATTGCATGCAAATCCGAGGAATTTCAAACCAGAGGACTATACTAAAAACGTTAATTTGCAGAATTTGGACACAGAAAAAAAAGATATTTACACTTTTCCTAAATAAAACTTTAATTCTCTCTTTTGCCCCACCGCCTCCCTTAGCCCAAGAATGTTCTAATTTTTAAAAATTGATATTTATTGTGCACTCCGCATGGTATCTGCTTAGTTTGTTCATTTCAGTTTTTGTAACACTACCCAACTTCAGAACATTATATCATTGATCAGAAAGAGAGGTTTGCGCCTGATATAAAGTATTAAAATGACCTGCATATTCATCCTCCCTTCATCATGACCTTGCTGCTATGTTACGTCATTATTAAGCGAACTATTCTGATCGAACTAACAAAACTACCGAATGGAGATATAAAATTGGTCAGAATAGGGCGATCAAGAATCTTATAATGATCAGGCATGCAAAAAGTCCTACTGTATAGTTTTTAACAATGACAATGAGAAGCAAAATTTGAAGTGCTGTATAACTTCTTTGTAAGTAAATGGACTGTCACGTTTAGGGTTGACTGTGAATAAACGGCTGTGACCAGACAAATTGGACTTATCTTGTCAGCGACATCCACCACTAATATAGGTATAGGAGGTCACCTTTATATGTTCAAAATTATAAAATGGATCTACCACCTGTTGCTAAAAAGGATGATGTGGTCGGGAAAAAAGAACTGGATGGGAATTATATGTAAGGATATCTAAGGATCGCTTTTCTATAAAATGTATGTTGTTCTCTGTTTTAGCCTCAACATTGCTATAGCGAGGTATGCATGAATGTAGAAATTGAAAATCGATTATGTGAAAATTTATGCATGTTTATGCATTGTTTGCATTAGTTCACTGCTATATTCTTTATTATTTTAATACATTCTCACTTTAAAAAAAAAATTAAAGAGTTTTCAAACATTCAATTTCATTCAAAAGATATCAGTCGTGTTGTACTGTTATAATTAGTCGTTGATAATCACTAGACATGTAGATAATTTCATCATTAGAAGTATTTTAACAGAACACAGGAATTATTATTTTAAAGTATTATTAGTTTGTTTTCAGCTTAAACTTGATTATGAAAAGCAACAGCTAGGACATTGTCTTTTTGCCTAGTAACGACAGACGTCTACCATGGAGCTGTTTTTCGTTACAGATATGGTCGCTGGGGACCCTATCAAGCATTTCAGGCCGCTTTTGCCCTATTCCATATATGGCAAACAGGTTTTCAGCTTTTAATTGGAGTTTTCATTGGTAAGATCATTATAATAATCATACTTTCTGTTAGAAACAGCTGTAGACAGCACATACAAATAGGAAAGATAAAGCTTGTTGTGGTCAGAACTTTGATTTGTGACCATTTCATATCACATTCAATGGCAGAAGTGCTAAGTTGCTGATAATGAATATTTAAAGGAATATAAGTTTGATTTGTTATTTTTTAAAGTTTTTTGCTGAGGGATCGCTAAAGATTTTTGAACAAGTCATACTACATCTCCATTTCTATGTCTGCAAAGAATATTTTCTGCGGCTTGCTTAAGTTCAATGTATTTATTACTCAACCAAGCATTATCATTTTCTTCCATCTGTCTATCAGTCACACGTCCTGTAAAATCTGTAAATTTCAACCTGAAACAAACAGGAGCTCATTCTTGGTACAAACATTGCTGTGATCTTAAGGCTGCAGCATGGCTTTTTGTTGAGGCCTACTTCAGGTACATGTAACAAAAGATTTCCTAGATCTTGATCCTGTCAGGTAGAGTCCAGGTGTTCACACTACATTAACAAGAGGCCAATGGGCCAGAACGCCCACCTGAGTTTCTTTGGCCTGCTGTTCTTTATAAGATTTTAAAAGATTGTTTTATATTCTCTTGAAAATTTATGACCATATATTACGGCCCCACCCTAACTCTAAGGAATTAATTTCTGAATCCACATACCATGGGGATGCTTTAATATCAGTATGACTAACATGGCCTTGCAGTTATGGAGAATACAAATTGATTCTTTTCCGTCGCCCGCGTGGCGCAGTGGTTAGAGCGTTTGCTCTAGAGTCGCGATGTAAGGAGTTAATCCTTACGTCGCGGGTTCGAATCCACTGCAGAACGTGGAGGCCGGTCCTTCGGATGAGACCGTATAAACAGAGGTCCCGTGTCGCAGTAGGTGCTGGCACGAAAAAGATCCCTCACTGCTCAATTGCCCAGAGTGCCGAGTATAGGTCAAAATTTGCAGCCCTCCATCGGCAAGTGGTGGCATCTCCATATGAGTGAAAATTCTCGAGAGGGACGTTAAACAACAAACAAACAAACAAAAACAATTCTTTTCCTGTATAAATACATTATGTAAAATTTGATTATAATTTTAGCCAACTTTAACCCATGGTCTGTAATTAAAAACAATGAAATTCACAGAACATGGGAATGTTTGCAAATAAATGTCTATTGAGTTTCTATAGAAAAATGTTTGGTTCTAGTTGAAACTTTGATCCCCTAGTATGGCCCCACACTAACACTGGGGGTTACGAGTTGAATAGTTTCTTCACTACCTCAGGAAGTCTTCACATAAGTTTCACTTTTTCTGGCCCAGTTGTTCTTGAGAAGATTTTTAAAGATTTTTTTTAAATATTTCAGTGTGAAACTTTCATCCCCTTTTGTGGCCCCGCCCTAGACCAGGGGGTCATGATTTAAGCAATTTAGAATCTACACTAACCAAGAAGCTTCCAAATAAGATTCACCTATTCTGGCCCAGTTGTTCTTGAATAGATGACTTTTAAAAGGTTTTTCTTATATATTTCAATGTAAAACTTTAGAGAAATTGAATTCACAAAATTTTACCAAAATCAATAACATCAAAAGATACTACTTTTCAACACTTTAAACAACCATTCCCCACCATAAATCAAAGTCCAGCTTTTTGACATGATAGACATCATTATTGATTACAGCAGTAAGGATTTTAACCGAATCTTTTATTATAAATTCATAGAGTTTTTGTAAAATTAATTCTAAAAATATCTACAATTAACAGTGAAAATTGAACTCGTAGAATTGCTTACCTTATCATTGGTCATTTGCAAACTTTTTTTTTTTTTTTTTTTTTTTTTTTTTTTTTGGTTAAAACATTCTGATTGTACCCACAAGTACTCTGAAGTAGAAATCAAAAATAAGCTTGAGTTTCTGATTGACAATATCTATATAGTTTTTGGAGACCAGTGGACCGTTTTACAAAAGAACTTACGACTAAGACCAAAAACTTCAGTTTATTGTAAAATTTTGCAAAATTAATGATTCTGTTTAAAATTGCTAGCGTAAAAGTATCTTTCTACATACCTTTTAAAAATATTAAAGCCATTTTCTATTTAATGTAAATTTGAAAGTTAGTAGCAGAATTAAATTCTGGTCTTAGTCAAAACTTCTTTTGTAAAACGAGCCCCAGGTCTTCCATCAATATGTCGGAATTCCCATGGGTACCAGTTGGGCCCCGTTATAAGCATACCTTTTTGTGATCTATGAAGTATAATTTATTCAAAAACTTAAACATGAGAAGATGATACTTGCTGTGGCCTTCGACTCGACATTTAGATACATCGACGATGCATTATGAATTAATAATAGTTACTTCCATTCATACGTCGAATCGATTTATCCCAGTCAACTTGAAATGAAAGATGCCACAGAGTCTGAAACTCTGTTTCATATTTGGATATTTTACTAGAAAAATATGTTAATGGTAACTTATCATCAAAACTTTATGATAAACCTGATGACTTCTAACTTTTCCATCCTAGAGTTTTCTTACTTAGGTAGCAATATACCCTTATCACCTGCATATGGGGTTTATATCTTCCAGTTGAATCTCTCGCAAGAGCATGCTCCACACAGGAACTCTTTCTGAAATGAGACAAGCTATTGATTGACATGGGTGATGAAGCAAGGATATCAACAGTCTCGTTTTAAGTCATCATTTAGGAAGTTCTATGGTCGATACAATGTCCTTGTCAGCAAATACAGTCTATCATTAAGTCGAATGTTGACTGACGTTTTTCATACTACCTGTTAGGCCATTATTTGAACACTGAATTTTCTACAGATTTTTCCGTTTCCCGATCATGAAAATGAGCACAATGGCGGGCGTGACCTAGTGTGACCAGTCGGCAGGGGATGATTACTTCTCCATGGCACCTGATCCCACCTCTGATGTTTTTAGAGGTCCGTGTTTGATCTGCTCCAGATTTGTATTGTGACCCAACCCTAACCCTGGGTCACGATTTGAACAATTAAGAATGTACACCTCCTCAGGAACCTTTTATATAAGTTTCATCTATTCTTTCCCAGTGACTCTTGAAAAGATTTTTTTTAATGACCCCACCCTATTTTTTGCTTTCTCTTGATTATCTCCCCTTGGAGGGAGACTTGGCCTTTAATTTGAACCAATTTTGTGCCAGTAAGTTCTTGAGAAGAAGTCGAAAATGTGAAAAGTTTACAGGCGGACGGACGGACAAATGGAGTTGTGCAATTTGCACGGTTTAATTCAAATATGTTATAATAATTATATTTTATTGCTATTGATAATGGTTCTGATCAAAGTTTTCTCAAAAGCTGTCGACATACCTTAAAAGTGAAAAAGAGGTAGCTTATGATCAGAAATGCCTTGAATGTAATTAATGTGTCCTTGTTTTGAGTTATCTGTAAAACATTCGTTAAGACTTTTCATAAATATAGTTTTCATTAAAGATAACAAATCAAACTCGATCAAACAAATTAATAAATGGATAATACTCAATGTGCTGCAATTTGATTAATTAAAATCTTTATCAAAATCATTTTCAGTAATAATCACCCTTATAATATATTTTCTTGCAAATCTTTCTGTATAAACTTAACTCAAAAATGGCATTTATACCTCCTTTAAAGAACCAGACTGCCATAATTCAATTTAACTTTATGTTGATTTTCAGCTTACAGACCAGGGTTCCAATGTGCAGCTTCGGAGTTTGACAATCAGTCTCTTACAAATAGTTCTATGTACATGACATACGAAAAATGTCACCTACAAATATACCACAATGACTCGAATATACATGATCCAAAACTAATGGCCACAACAAAGTGTCCAAATGGGTATCAATACACGTTAGAAAAAGACAGCACTATTGTCACAGAGGTAGATTATTTTGTAAATTTTTCTAATGAAATGAAATTATGATTATTGGTACATTCCAAATAGTTTTCAATAAAAAAAAAGTAACACTTTGATAGAACAGTAGACATAACCTATAATAACCTATAGGGGTTGTTTTGTATTAATCTCTATGAAAACTCCTGACCAGCCAGGATTACGCTTAAGAAAATCTTATCAAAAACCTCTAAAACTCAGAAACAAAAGCTCTCATACTATTTAAGTGGCTTATTTCGAAATTAACCTCAACAATGATGAAGTAGATAAACTTGATAATTTGAAATTTTATTCATTCCTTTCTATCAGTTTTACCACATTTATTAATTCTTCTTAAGTTTATACTACCATCTTTAATTCTGCCAAAGCGATACTTTGCATGAAATTCAAACTTTGAGAAATTACGAACATGAAATTCACACAGTCCTGACTTTTTCATAAATTTTCAATTAATAAACATATTAATGTGCTCCTGTTTAGTTAATAAATTGATATCTCACACATATTTTACCTTAACAAAGATATATTTTACTTCAGTTTGATCTTGTCTGCGACCGAGCAAATTTAGCAGAACTTCTTCAGACATTAGTGATGGCGGGACAACTGGTAGGAGCAGCTTGTGCCTCATCCCTTAGCGACAGAGTAGGAAGGAAGACCGTCCATCTTGGCTCTAACCTTTTGACCTTGATATTGGGAATTTCCGTGGCCTTTGCGTCAAATTATGCAACACTGGCAGTCATGAAATTTGTTCTTGGCGTTTTGCAACAGGTTGTCGTAAAGACTGTATCTGCTTTGCAAAGCTTTGTTTCAAACTTGTCCTTAATCTTGCGACAATCTTTTATGATTTGCTTTTTTTTTTTCAGGGAATGGTCATGTCCGGTGTTGTCTTTACGCTAGAACTCTTCCCAGAACAGGGTCGCTTCTACAGTGAAGTGATAGGCTCCTGTGTCTGGAGCACAGGTCTGATTATAATGTCTGCCATTGCTTATCTATTGCAGAACTACTCCTGGAGATATCTTCAAATTACACTTACCTGTTTTTCAGTTTTGAGTTTGTTCCAATATTGGTAAGTAAACCACTACATTTGACTAAGCACCAGTCCGACACCTATATATTTACATCTCTTTGAATCGCTTTCTATAGCGGCCTATCAATATATGCACATTGTAGACGCCAAACAATTTTTGATATGAAATATTTTTGTCAAATGTAGTATAAATCAAAGGCCTTACAATTGGTATAAAATATGTCTGTCAAAGTACGACCCAGTTATAGATTATATTTGCAAGATATGTCATTAAAGCGACCATAGAATTAACGAAATGCTGACTTTAAACGAGCTTGTTGAAATTTCTGTGTAACATTAACTCATATGTCAGTAGTCCGCCTCGGTTTAATTGACCGTACTCAGAGTATGCTCTTCAGTATCAAATACGTTTGGAGACAAAAACACCATATGCAGGTACAGGGGATAATATATTTACTTATCTATTTACTACTTACTTCTTTATTTATTATTTATTTATTTATTTAGTTATTTGTTTGATGTAATGCTATACGGAATGTCTTTTTCATTGAGCATTAAACCGCTTCAAGTAAGTTTATTATTATTGTTAAATAAAGAAGTACGTAAGTAAGTAAGTATAAAATCCACTGTTACCTGCATCTGGTGTTTATGTCTCAATTAATCAATTAATTGATCGTACTCATAGTATGCTCTTCAGTATCAAATAAGTTGGGAGACAAAAACACCATATGCAGGTAACAGTGGATTATATATTTACTTACTTACGTACTTCTTCCTTCCTTCCTTTCTTTCTTTATTTATTTATTCATTTATGTAATGTTATGGAGAATGTCTTTTTCACTGAGCATTAAAACGCTTCAAGTAAGTTTAAGTCAGAAAAGTGAAGCTATTTTTAAGATTAAATAGAAATTCAAAACTGTGAATAAAACATCGAATCAAGTGTGTCCATACCATTTCAATACCAGAACCAAAACCACCAATATACCAAAAAGAGGAAATCAAAATATTTGTTTAGGATTCAAGACGAATCATTACGATGGCTTGTTGCCAACGGGAAAAAGAAAGAGGTGGAAAGAATAGTACGAAAGGTTGCCAAATGGAACAAACTTGATTATGAGGATCTCAAGAAGAATGTTAAAAAGAAAATGGCATTAAGGAATAAGGAAAAAGAAGAAACAGACAAAACGTTGCTGGGCGAACAGCAACAGCTCCATGTTGTTGAAAAATACTCCATTATTACCATCCTTAGAAACAAATCTGTACTCATCATTTCCCTCCTGATGTGTTTCACATGGTAATGTCAAGTATTTACTCAATTTACTTATACATACAGTAAAACATGCTTATAATGAATTGACGCTTATGGCGAAGTGACTTTAATTCCCCTTGACTTTAAAATATATTGAACACTTAACGGAACACTTACGCTTATAACGAAGCTAATTTTTCCGTCCCTGGCACTTCGTTATGGGTGTATTTTACTGTACATGTATTTCAAGTGAAAAATTAAAAGAAAAATGAAAATCTTTATCGGACTGGTAATTACCTGCTCTGATAGAAATATCTCTTTTTCAGGGTGACTAACACACTGACATACTTTGGGCTGACACTCACAGCTACGTCTTTGGCGGGAAATCGTTTCCTTAACTTTTTCTTCATGTCCTGTGTAGAATACATTTCACTTATCCTGGAGTACAGCATGCTACGCCGGTAAGACTAAATATTGAAGGATCAAATGTAGGCTTTATTGAATTGTTGATACCGGCGGAATTCTACGTCCTGACAAGCATTCTTATAATCGGATTAAGATGATTTTCTAATCTTTTAACAATTTCTTCGTAACGATTGTAACCAAAAAAGCTTGATTTCTTTAAAAAAAAAAATTAAACTTATTTATTATATACCTCATGTGGACAAATGCTGTATACTTTATTAATGAATAATAATCACATATTTTTATTTTCATTAATCTTTATTTTAATTATCAGTGTTTTTATATGAAATAAGAAAAATAAATTTATCATAATCTCATATTTTTTTTGTAAATCTTTCAGTTTATATTTTCCCAGGCAGAAAACAACAATATTTTTCCCACTTTGAGTTTCCTTATTTTTTTTCTAAATTCTGCTTTAAAAGACATCTTCAAGTCAAAAAGTAACCACCTAGTTATTTTTAAACTAGTGTTATATTTTTGGAAAGTGAAATTTCAACTAGAGCACCTTCATTTAAGATGAGGAAGAAATTGCCCAAAAAAAGGGGAAAAAGTGTCATTAGGTCTTTCACAACATTTATCTACATCGAAGCTCCGCTGCAGATTTTTAAATCAAAGGGAATCATAAAGTTTTTGTCATTTTGTAAATAAAAGAGTACATTTCAATCCACGGCAAATTTAATTTAGATTAAATTCCGTTTTTTTTTGGTTTATTTTTATACGATATATTGAACAGATATTTGACATATTGTAAACAATCTTGCCGCTCTACAAATTAGCAAAATGTACATCATTTCTCCATATACTTTTATAATTTTTTAGGGTTGGCAATCGAATACAGAATTGCTAATCGGTAAACCACAAGATGCTCCCACCGATTAACCGGTTAATCATATCAAAAGCACATTTTCTTGACATTTTTTAAAGTAGCTTTATAGCTCTATTCATATACACAAAAAGACTTAAAAAATCATTAGAGGTTAGAAACGTTCTGTTTGTCTTGATCAGAATTCAGAAAGCTACATGTATTTATATTTTATTTCAATTTCAATACACAAGAGAAAGTAAGAAAAACTTGAAACATGTTCCCGAAATCAGTCATTGATAATTTTCAAGATCAGATGTCAGACGAATTATCTGCATTGTCACCATAATCAAAACTAAGTCTGAACTATCACTTAATTTACAATGTTTGTTTGTATTATATAATATGATATTTAACTGCAAAAGATAGGCATAACATTTCACAGTGCTAAACGTTGATTTTATAAATATCATTAAAGAAAATACAGAACATTTGGGGTAACGACATGGCGTTTAAAAAGTAATTGACATTTCACAAACTATACATTACCTCGCGATCTCAATCAGAGAAAAAGTCGGAAAATGTACAAATCTCGCGGGATTTCTGGGACAAACGTAACATAAACATGTAAACAATATGTTGAATGTCCATGAACAAATGAAATATTTTATTGCTGTGGACTTTATATACATCAAGAGTAGGAATGACAACGATATCAATTTATATCTATTGTTGATCGTATGTATCTATTTATCGTATGGTACATCTAAATACAATATACATGCCTCGGAAATGTCGTATTTTTATTAATGGATGATAAATTTAGGGTTCTCGCTCTCTTACATATGTATTTTAGTTCTTCTATTCTTTAATTGGAATGACAAATACATTTAACATTTAAAATTGGATTGAGATTGGCATGTTTTGTATTATCCGCAACTCCATGCTGTCCCCGTCAGACGACCAAAGGCGCCTCTAATTTTGAAGAGTTCACTAATGGAAATAGAACGTATTGACTTTTTTTGCCTTGATTTCTGTTCGTTATCTTCATATTTCATATGAAAACGCCAAATTATCAATTTTTATGCTGAAATTTCTTTTTAAAAATGAATTTTAAGAAAATTGCATTCAAATTTACATATTATTTCTGATTTTTTTTTTTTTTTGACCAACTGATAACCGATTATCATCCTTTCGACCGAGTAATCGATTACTCGGTTACAGATTGCCATCCCTACTTTTTTGCATTTTTAATGAACATATGTATGTTCGCTATATAGTGCCCTAACACCAACACTTATACGTTATAACTTGTAGGTTTGGTAGAAGAACTACCACAATTTTTTTCCATTCTCTAACTGGAACATCATTGGCTCTTGCCACCCTGTTGAAATACTTTTCAGGTAATGCTTTATTATTGTTTCACTTCTTTATGATTCCAATACTTTACAAAGTTTTTGTTTTATTAAATGTATGCTTACTTTGAAATCAGATGGAGATGGAACGCTCATACTACTATCAGTTTTGGCGACCTTTGCCGGGAAGATGTCTGTGACCGGATCATTTAGTGTGCTATTTCTCTTTACTCCTGAACTTTTTCCCACAAATCTTAGGTAGGCTTCGAATCAAATAAGTGAGCTGTTATATATGTATTGAGAATATAATTCGTTAGTTATAAAGACATTAGATGCATATTTTTTTTCCTTTATTTTTCAAGGAATGTCGGTATAGGTATGTGTTCAACATTCTCTAGGATTGGTGCCATGATATCGCCTTTCGCTGGAACTTTGGTAATTTTACGTCATTATCACAGCACTGATTCAGAGTATCATGTTGTCTTTACAGATGTATCATGCATGTGTCATAGACTTTGATTTATATTTTATACTTCTTTTTACGTTTTAAGGCACGAGCTGTACCTTGGGCCCCGGGAACCATTTTTGCTCTGATGTGTTTTATTGTCACAATTATTGCCTTGTATTTACCGGAAACACGTGGAATGGATTTACCTCAGACTCTGGATGAAGTAAAAAGATGGTACGCAGAAAACAGTGGACTTCGCCTGCGTAAAAGTCGGAAGAAAGAAAGCAATGTTTATGAAGACTTTGCTGTTCCTCTAGCAGTGGCATCCAAAGACCAAATGGAAATTTAGAAAGGAAAAATTCTTCATGTGATACAATAGAACCATGTCAAAATGTATCTAAAATTTCAGGATTGGCATTTCTACTTTTCTTACTTTCTGAAAAAATTTCCAGAGGTATCTTTAACCGGGGTTTCCACAGAAAGAAATCCGGTTATTGAAATTGTGAAAATGACTGGCGGCTGCCAAAAGGGTGGATAACTACAACAGTTTTCAAGATAAAAACTTTTTCACAGATACGTGTATCATAGATGTGCAAAGTAAAAGTACTAGAATTTAGATTTTTAATAATTTATGAGATAAATCCCAGCTGTTGAATTTAGTCCCTTTTTAAAACAAAATATTGCATATATAGGGTACAAAATTTATCCGGAAATTACACTTACAGTTTTCAAGATAGGGCATTTTATCTAGAATATCAATTGACCATACATGTATATCAGAAATGTGCGCTGTACTTGGATTTTAGTTTTTGAAAATTTATGAGAAAATACCAGCTATTGAACTTAGACATCTATGCTAAATATTGCGTATAGGGTACACCATTTTCCCAGATCTTTTGGAGATAGGAATGTCTTATTTTGCAGATCATCATATATCAGAGATGCGCATAGTATTTGGATTTTTGTTTGTTTGTTTGTTTGTTTTTGTTTTTGTTTTTTTTTTTTGGATAATTTATCAGAAGAGTACGGGTCTTGTAGAGTAGATTTTCCCCTCTAAAATCTTTTCCCCCTGAAAAATGTCTCTAGAGTAGGATTTCTCCCCGGAAAAAAGGCTCTATAGTAGGATTTCCGCCACAGGAAAATGACTCTAGAGTAGGATTTCCCCTTCGAAAACCCCATGCCAGATTCAATTTTCCGAGGAAGTGCGATTTTCTACAGAGCCGCTTTCCCAAAAAATAAAATATTATGCCTATACATGTACTTCAATATGACGAGAGGAGGGGCGACATATTGTTACAAGTGACCTTTCTATAATTTTCTCACAGGTGATCTAGCATTAGACAATCTTAATGAAATTTAATATATATATATATATATATATATATATATATATATATATATATATATATATATATATATATATATATATATATATATATATATATATATATATCTTATCTAAATGTCCATCTGTGCATTCAACATTAAAATTTTCAAAAAGGTGACCAGTTTGATTGAAAAATCAGAAGTATGAAAATTTAAAATTTAAAATCATTTTTCTCAGTAACTGCCCAACCAATTCCTTTTAAGCATTCCTCTCAGTTTTGTCATCTGGTCAAACTGGTTTCTAGGGGGGAAAATATGATACAATGTAATCGGTTGGACAAATTTTTAACTTAAGTCATAGAAACGAAAAGAAGTTTTTTTTAATGGATTTTTTTTAAAAAAATGGTATTTCAAACTACATGTACATAAATGAACATGACATTGATGTGTAAGTGTCTTAAGCTTTCCACGTTTCTAGGATTTAATTATCCAAAAAAGCTGCTGTTACCATAGAACAAATGAAACAATTTCTAAAAATTTGAAATTTTGTAAAACTTTCAGAGAGGAGAGTATTTGCTCTTTGCTTTCAAATCCAATATTACACCGCTGGCTGGGCTCGAGGGGACATACTTATGCTTCGACTTTCAAGAGCAGTGTTTCTTGTATTGTTTATTTTGGGTTTGGCAAATACTCACAAAAAGTATGTGGAACGTATCGATAATATGAATTTTAGAATTTTCTCACACATTCTTTGTAAAGAACAGAACCGTAGATAAAATACAGGGTCGGTAGTGGTAGAGGGCAAAAAAATTAAATCTCTACAGGTGGCCTCATATACATCTTTAAAATTTGTGAAAAATCAGGTATGACTGCGGCAAGAGGGGTGTTGAGACATCGAGTTTTACGAATGTTTTGAATGACCAGTTTTACAAAACCTCCTACACTCAGTGATTTGAACTGCATGTATATATTTTAAGATTTAATTATAAATTTGAACAATTCTTGAGTCAAAAACACTCACAATTCCATTTAAAATCGATTGACTCATATACACTTGTAGCCAAAATATTGTCGATATGATTTTAGCATTGATAAAATAGGAGAAATCCTACATTGAGGGGAATGAGGGGAGATTTTGCTCTAGTCTGAGATTTTCCCTCGGGGGAAGTCCTACTCTAGAGTACAGATTCTTCGGGGGGGGGGGGGGGGGGGCTGGCTATGGGGGAAATCCTACTTTACGACACCGGTACACGTTGTTGAACTAAGTCATTTTAAAGGAAAATATGTTCAGAGGGTACATTAATGTTGTTGGGATGTCAATTCCTACAGTTTTCAGAATATAGAAAGGTTTTAAAAAGAAAACTTGACTTGCTGTCACATTGACAGCTTTCCCCTTTTAAAATACTCTGCCAAAGCTGGTTTTACTAGAATCTTACAAAAATGTAAATACTGATTTTTAATCTTCATGACAGATCAAGTCTGAATTGTTGGTTGCACATGTATAATTGGCTGTAAATAAGTTCTTTACCATTTTTTCATACTTATTTCTATTTGAGCGCACAGTTCTCGCAATTTTCTTCCGGAATGTCCTCATTTTACTGAAAAACTATCAAGAATGCAAGCTTGCTGGACAAGATTATCACCAGTCCAGGCTATAAAAAATTCTTCTTCACACTTAAATGGTTTTGAAATTCTGGTTGGGCCTCAGTAAGAGAAATGGACGTTTAAGCCGCATCCAAGTTTGACCTTTTCCAATACCGGCTATTGCTTTTGATTTTCAACCTTATTCAGGGACTCAAACACAATACATGTATAAACTTCAGATAGATTCTATTTAAATATTTAAATGTAAAACTAATTTAATTTGTCTTAATTTTCACAACAACATAATTGGTACCGTATAACATTTACATGAAGACCCCTGGGTCGATGCCTCTGCTGGTGGACTGTTAGTCCCCGAGGGTCTCTACAGTCTAGTAGCTGGGTTCTTCGGGACTAGCTTGAAAATACGGATATATGTTTAATTGCTATGGTAAAACTTAGAAATTTATTTCAAAATTAAAGATTATATCCCTCATACATAGCTCTGATCCTTCGACGTATTTGGCTCCAGTCTTTGGCATCTCCCTTTCTTCAGCTCTTCAAAGTTTTCTAAATTAAATATTTTGGATTTCCAACGTTTCGGCATGAGAATCACGGAAGAGACAATTTGTCGAAATGCGCATCTGGTGCATCAAAATTGGTACCGTATAACATTTACATCTAACTGTATATTATGGTTTTTTTTTTCAAGTTTTGAATTTAATTTAAGAATTGTTCTTCAGAGCAAGAGTCAAATCAGCGATACCTGATTGGGGTAACTGTCTTTCAAGCTCATATATAAGTGTTCGAGTATAATATCTTTCAAATACGTAAAATATTACTCCCTTGATATAAGCATATTGTCAAAAACTGCTATCCAGTTTTCCTTTTAATGGACATTTTCCTTTGAAATTACCCTTTTTATGCCCCCGTATCGAAGATTCGAGGGTATATAGTTTTTGCTCTGTCCGTCCGTCCGTCTGTCTGTCTGTTTGTCTGCTTGTCCGCATAAACATTGCTCATAACTTTTGATTGATTGGAGCTATGGCTTTCACATTTCACATGTGTATTCCTTGTGACAAGACCTTTCTTTGGGTACCATCATATTTGACCTTGACCTTGGAGTTTGACCCAGTTTTACAAATTTTTTCCAAACTTTGACCTTGGCCATAACTTTTGAACGGTTGGTGCTAGGGCTTTAATACTTCACATGTGTAATTCTTGTGACAAGACCTTTCTTTCGATACCAACAACTTTGACCCTTTGACCTTGACCTTGGAGTTTGACCTACTTTTGAAAAACTTTAACATTGGCTATAACTTTTGAACGGTTGGTGCTAGGGCTTTCATATTTCACATGTGTAATTCTTGTGACAAGACCTTCCTTTGGATACCAACACTTTGACCTTTTGATCTTGACCTACTTTTGATAAACTTTAACAGTGGCCATATCTTTTGAACGATTGGTGCTAGGGCTTTCATACTTCACATATGTTATCCTTGTGACAAGACCTTCCTTTGGATACCAACAACTATAGCCCATTCACCTTGACCTTGGAGTTTGACCCATTTTTGAAAAACTTTAACCTTGGCCATATCTTTTAAATGGTTGGAGCTAGGGCTTTCATATTTCACACGTGTATTTCTTGTGAGAAGGCCTTTCCTTGGGCACCATTAATTTTGACCTTGACCTTGATGTTTGACTTACTTTTGAAAAATTTTAACCTTTTCCATATCTTTCCAATGGTTGCTGCTAGGGTTTTCATATTTTACAAGTATATTTCTCGTTACAAGACCTTACTTTGGGTACCATCATATTTGATTTGCATTTGAGAAAGTTTAACCTTCGCTATAAGTTGCCATACGGGGCATCAGTGTTTCACAAACACATCTTGATTATAAATAAGACAATAATATACTACGTGATCATCCACGAAAGCGCGCAAAAATTGCAGTTTGATTTGGATATCTGGACGGGGTTGCACAAAACCTTGGTTAGCGCTATTCGTAGATAAAATCTAGATAAAATGGTTAAATCTTCAGTGGTTAACTTTTAACCATTGGTTAAATTCTGTTGCTCAAAACTTGTCTACTGATTAATTTCGTTATTCAGTGGTTAAATATTGGCCAAAGTTAGCCAGTCCACAGAGGTGGGTTAAGTCTCTTACCCAGTGGATAATCACGGCTACCTAGTTATTAATTTGTTGTAAATTTTGGAGGATAACAAGAGAAACGAAAGATTTATAAACATTCTAATCATGAATTTAATGTTGAAGAGTACAAAAAAGACAGTCATTTATAAGTCAAGTTGAAATGGCTTTGAAACAATATGGAATAGGGGATAACGACACTATCAGAGATATGATAGGATTTCATGTCTACAGTATCAGCTAGAATGGGTTCTTTCAAGGCTAAAATTGTTAGCGTTGCAAAGCATTTCATCAAGTGGCCATCCTCTGCTAGTAAAATTAATGAAGATAAATATATGTACATTTTAAATGATATGAATGAATGAATAAAATTGTTGGTCATCTTTTTATAAGTCTAATAATGGATACTTGATACATTATTTTTGTACCCAAGCAAAATTATTAAAATACTTTAAAATAAATTTGGGAATTGATGCCCCTTCTCTTCAGATATTTTTTTTAAATAATATTAATTATCATTCACTTGACAATGATTTTTTATTGACCCCATTTTGTTAGGCGG